ATAAAAAATAAAAAATAAAATAGCTGTTTGCAAAAATTTAATGGAAATTTAAAATTAAATAATAATAAGAATTACAAATTTTGTATAACCACAATTTTTTCAGGTAACGCAAAAAAAAGTAAAATAGCTCAGTAAACAAAACTAAAAATCGCAAACTAAATACAAACGCTACCAAATCCATAGCAAAGTTCGTTGCTTAAGTCTTTTATATTAGTAACAACCAATAATTACTAAAAAATACAGTAAAAGTGCATAAAAACGTGAATTAAATTGAAAAGAATATTGATTTTGTGTGAAAATGCGCMRCCAGCAGCGCTGCTGACWAAGTCAACAAAACGAAAACGCGCAAAACACCCGAGTGACTAACGAGACRCAAAAATAAATGGCGTTAACAAATTTCTCGCTRCCCTTTGGCGCACTGACGCAACAAGTGCCCACGTGGGGTGCCACCCTRCCGCCGCTGCACCCCGCCCATCAGCTAGCTGCTAACACCAACAATTTACTCTACTCGCCGGCCGATCATCAGCAGCAGCAGGGCGACGACGCCGCACCGCCGCCGGAATCAGATTTCTACAAAAACAACCCGTATGCGCCACCACAACTGCATCAGCAGCAACAACCACAGCAGCCGATACGTCAGTCGTATCAATACAATAGCAACAACAACAATCACAATATACAAAATAATAATCGSCTGAAAAGCGGTAACACCTACTTGCCGCCCATACCGCCGCCCGGTGCGCGCAACACACAATTCAACAACCAAAAACAACAGCCGCAACAACAACAACARCAGCAGCTGCCACAAAAGCCGCAACAACAGCATTATAGTCATTTCAGCATAAATCAACAACAACAACACCAACAGCAACATCAGCAACAACAAATCAAGGGCAACAATGTCGCYTTCAAGGCAGCCACTTCCGTGTCCACCGTTGCTGCGGCAGGCTCTGCTGCCGCCACTTCTACCCGAACCTACGGCGAAGGTTCTTACAATAATTTTGGCGCTGCAGCAACGCAACAGCTCCGCCCTCAACAACAACAACAACAACATCAACAAAAGCAATTTTATAATTCCTATAGTCATAGCACTTCCTCATTTGTTGCACAATCACAGCAGAAGACTCAAACACAAACAAGCCAACAAAGCTATGGCACTGCACCGGTGACCGAAGCACCGCAACCGGCAGCGGTTTATGGTGCAGCACCAGTGCCAACGCTGCGCACCGTAGATGAGGTGAATGGTGGTGGCAATGATAGCGTTGGTGATATTGGTGGTGGTGATAATGGTGCCGTTGATGAATCGTATCCACATCGCCCACCSGGTTTCACGCGTGTTCAAGCTGGCCAGGGCACACGCACACAGGTGCATGCAGTGCTCGATTACGATGTGGAGGAGGGCGAAGAGGAGGAATACTATGATGAGGGTGATAAAGGTGAGTGCAACCTAATATTATGTACCACATGAGGATTTATCTTTCTACTTATGTCTTTCGAAACCCTTGTAGAATGTGTTTCTATCATTCTTTAAATGCAAACTCTTTCGTTTARCACAGCTTTTGTTTTGACTTATGTTTTTTATTACAAAAAACTAAAATATTGTATGTAAGGAAACAGGATCATACAAACTTTTCATTAAAACATAATGATAGCTCTAAGTTCGGATAGTTTTAGTTTCGGACTTGTCCCTCCATCTCATCCGTAATATTAAACAATTATTGAGTTAAAAAATGTCAAACAACCGCAGAATTTCAGACATTTCAACGCCTAACTCTCTTTTTAACTACTATTTACCGGTGTTCCACAAGTTCATATAAAAATTCTATATATAGCTCACCTGAAGAATAAATATTTTATGTCAAACCTTATTGAGATATTTTTATAAAGAAGACAATTTTGAATAGAACTTACTGCCCCTACTTAGACCTATGGTGGTTACAACCTCAAAAGGTTTAAATATGTAATAAATCTCCCAGGAAAAAAACTCAGGGTACTTGTCGCCTTCTACTCTGGCCATTGTAAGCTCAAGAAGGTCTTATTTAACATGGGCCTATCTTCTTGTGCAAATTGCCGGTTCTGTGACTTAGAGCCTGAAATACCAGAACACGGTATAAATTAACCTGATACCAAATACATGCGAAATTGGTTATAAACTTCACTTGACAGAGGAAACTGTTTTCATATCAAATATTTATACCATAAACAAAAAGGTATAAAAGAAGGTCTTGAAGTTTATATAAATAATCAGGGTGATGGACTGAGTGCATATGGCCATGCCCATCTGTCTAACTGTCTATAAGTGAGAAGCAGTGAACGCATTTTGCGAAGTGATAGGAGCCTCGGACGACGTCCTATTCGCACCATATATTTTGGCTTATTAATGGCGTGTGCCWCTTATGATGCCGCAATATGGTGGATCTCAACAATGGTGGTCTCGGAATGCCAAAAACTTCTCTCCGTGTGACCTTGCATTATGGAGATCTCATCGCTAATATTGGTGCGATGTAGGGTTTATGAGATGCACCCCCTCTTGACCTCATTGTCATACAGCGTGCTCATGTATTCAGGAAGTTTGAGTGTGTCATTGCAGCGAAACTACTGGGTTTCCGAAGATGATGTAGAGAGGAAAGCATATCTAGGAAGGAAAAGGGTTCTAGACGATAGTGTTAGAGAAAGTAACAAAACTGTCGGAACAATAGAACCAACCGGCGAGTGACTTACGGATACATCCAGGACGTGACGCTTTTCSTAAGTCCGAGCATGGGTTTCGGAATGTATTTTTGCATCAGAGTTACCTTTCTGGTAGGTCGTAGTGTATGTGGGCGCGAGTTGAATATTAGTTGCATGTATAAATATGTATTCGGAAATTAGGGATCTAAAGRGTAGTGACTATCGATTAGATGTTAGCGATGTGATCTTCACTAGTCGRAATACTGAACAGTTAGGTTCAATTTGAATGTGKCGGTTAGCTTCTGATTGAATGGTGTATGCATATAATGAACATATGGGTTCCAATCACTAATCACCACTCCTGAGCAGTATTGAAACTCAATTAATGGAAATTTSGGCTACGAGGTCTGACCAAAGATATAATTCGGGTACCACGGCTGCAGGGGCCAATGAAATCCGCTTCAACCTGYTCAAAGAGCACGGCTTTTCGGGGAGTATAGTGGTGGTTATGGTTAAATAATTGTTATGATGGAAGAACTGACCTTTTATCAGTTCAATGTGGAGATTCATTGTAACCGGGTGTGGATCTAAAATGCAGCAGAGATTTTAGATGGAATTCGAACTCAACCRAGCTGGTTAGTGTGTCCAAATCAATTGGTACTGAAAACTGCCTAGCATTTTTGCCCGCTGTGAGTACTCTGGGGTAAGGCTGTCGTCAGAAGGTTAAACACATCGAACGTTGTCCGTCTGTGTTTAGTATATACGCGAACTAGTTCCACAGTTTTTGAGATATCGACAAAAATTGGACACTTGCCTGTTTCTATGCTTGAAACTACGCCTTTGGAGGATCCRGCGATATCGGTTTTCGTGGTCACGTCCAAAATTAAGGTCTTGAAAGAAGAAATATCATTATTCTTATTTGTGACCCCAAAGGTTGTGGCTAGGTGGCCACGTAAAAAACACTCCCAATGAAATGAAGGAAACTGTTGTGTCCTTTCCGGCTATATCTGCTTCAGCGATGTCTACCCCCTAATAGAAGAATAAGAAGCATGCATATTCCAGCTTCGGTTCTATCGAAGTACTGTTTTTTTTTCTTAGTTTTTATGAAAAAAGTAAAGATCTAAATATTTGCCAACACTTTAATTCAAACACATGYGCTGCCGAATTTTATTCTAAATCTCTTGTTATGAGTTATTGAACTACAGAACCTCAAAAATTGGCACACAAATCTTAGTAATTAATTCATATCTTAATATTTACTGAAAACATGCCGTTATATATTTGTTTTGTTATATATTTTATTATATTTTATAATACTCACTACACGCCAATGAAGGTCAACGTTTCTTGACTATTGAAAACTAAAGTAAAACAATTCGTAATATCAAATACAAATGAAGGCGCGCGGCACATGGGAAGGCGTGATTCACGCCACAATACAAATTCACATAGTCATACATACATTAAAATAAATTAAATAAATTTGCCTAAAAACTCGGAAGTAAAGTTGTTTGACATCTAAACGAGTCGAACTTTGTATTCGCGACAAGAAAAGATATCCAGCTTTTTAATGCTAAAATACTGCACAACCGATCGCAGACATCGGAATATTTATTGCTTTTGAGTTTTATTTCTTTTTTGCTTTTTTTTTTTTTGTTAATACTACTAAAAAAATACTACAAAAACAAAGACAAATATTTGTTGAAATGCGTGCTTTTGTTGGTATTTGTTCAATATTTACTCGGAGGCGAGTGTTGAAGTTTGCTGAGCGTATTGAGTTACGCCGCTTTTGTTGTTGTATTTGTATTTGTAATTATTATTATTTTTTTTAAATTCAATTTTGTTTTTGTTTTTACTTGTAGTGCTTTAACTTTTATTTCTTTGCTATTGCCTATGCTAATGTTATTGTTTTCGTATATACTTTAATACTTTGCCATTCGTGCGCTCTTTGTGATAAATGACAACGCGTAAACAGCTTTTGTTGTTATTTACTTGTCGAACTTAAGCGACTTAGATGAACAGCGCTGCATGAGCTGGTGGAAGTGATACTCGTTCTACAAAAAAAAATATTAAAAAAAAGTGGTTTATGCTAAAGGTGGGAAAAAATTTAACCCAGTAGGCAATTGGGAGGACAATAACGAGTTATAAGTGGGTTATGACTACCACGACAAAAAATAAAGGTTTTACAAAACGGTGCCACTTCGGCAAATCTTATTGGATGTTTATTATTAAAACAAGCTCTCATAAAATACATAAGATGTTTGAAGTCGCATAATATTAATAAGTTCATCACAGATGCTCAGACAAGCACCCAAGTAAAGACGCAAACCTTAAGTTATAAAAGAGTAGCGCATACAAATTAGAAAAAATCTTAACTTCGCTAGTAGCTAGGAAAATATTAGCAGATGAAAAAAGTTTCTATAAAAGAATTGGATGGATCAATTCGTATGKGAGTTATATGCTATAGTGGTCCGATCTGAAAAACTCTCGGAGATTGTACCTTTGGCTTGGAAAATAGTCTCTGTCGAAATTCGTGAAGATATCCTGTCAAATAAAATCATTTTCGTTCCATTCATATGGCAGCTATATGCTGTAATGACTCGAACTAAACGATTTCCTTGGTGATAGAGCCACTGCCTTAAATTATAATTTGTGTTAAATTTGAAGGAGGTATTTCGTAAAATGAAGAAGATTTCCACATGTTTTGTCTTTTCTGGGGGGAGAAACGAGGAAATTAAAATTTGAGATCTTGTATACGAAGAGATGGGCACGGTTAAATGGACACGCTGATCAAGCCGGCTTATTACAAAAAATCATGGAAAAMCTAATATACCTTGTTTAGGGTAACTGCGCAATTTGGTTATTCTCATATCCCGGCAAATAACTTTTTCAAGATTGTGAAAAAAACGGGCGGGCCAAATTTGGAGAATAAAGTTTTTAGCCTAATTCGTTCCTTTTTGGTTTTGGCGAAGGTGGCTGTGTAAATCGATGACGGTTGTTCTCCGGAGTATGTATGCTGATTAAATTACTAACATTTTGAKATGCCTACTATCTCATCAATATACTTCATGCGCTTATAGATTTCTGCTTTATTCTCCATGGTAGCCGTTTCGGGTCTACCGTACACGATAGTACATTTGTTTTGTGATAACTCAGGTTTCAGGACCAGAGCATACTCCTGTAGGACCCACAGTGTTGATAAGATCTTATCAAGCGTAATGTGCGAAAGACTTAAACCCACCGCCAACAAACTGATTGGACCTTATCAGAGTTTTCACTATGCCTCAAATCTTGGAAAAAATCCGTGAAAGAAAGATCGACACAAAAAACTTTGTCGTCTTTGTCGATTATAAAGCCACCTTCAACAGCACGAAAAGGGACTGTTTTTAAGGCGCTATATCTGTATTTGATCTGTCCGCAAAAAAGCTAATTCGTCTATGTAAACTGTCATTAAGCAACACCAAACGCTCTGGAAGAAAGTAGAGATCTATAGAGCTAAATAGAGAAGGTACAAACTTTTATGTATAAGAGTGTACAGCTGCTGGCGTACACCGATGATATTGATATCATTGGCCTCAACACCCGAGCTGTTAGTTCTGCTTTCTCCAGAATGGATAGCGAGAACGAAGGCAGGACGAAATATCTCCTGTCATCAAACAAACAGTCATGACATTCGCGACTTGGCTCCCACGTCACTGTTGACAGTCATAACTTTGATAATTTTGTCTATAATGAGACCAGCAGGTGCTACTTTATGCTGAGTAGG